TGCATAAACATTTATTTGATGAACATGAATAGATCTAGATTCCAAAACTAAAAAGTTATTTTTCCAATCAATAAATTCCTTCTAAAATTTTCTATTTTATTCTAAATACTAATTATGTACTTTTAAATTTCTTCAATCCTTGTAGTTCGACTTTGGACTTATTGGAAAATTATTACTTCTTGACCACTTACACTTGGGTGTACCTATTTGGGATCGAGCAAGTTTTTGACTATGTTGTCGGGGATCACAAGTCAAGTGTAGAAGCAAAAAAAGGAGGAATCCTTCTTCACCCATGAGCTACTTGGTGAAATTCTTCTCTAGGTAAATTTGTTCATTTTGTTTTTGTACATATTATTTGTTTCTTTTAGTTTATTGTATATATATATTTTTCTTATGCTTTTAGATTACTCTAATGAGATGTTTAGTGTTTCCCCCTATTGAGGAGGAATGTGGGATTTGTGTTGGGTTTGGGCATCCCACTAAAGAGTGTCTTACCATTTCGATGTTTCAAGAGGTTTGGCTGGATCAGTCCAATGAAATATCATCTTTTCAACAATCTTATTCCAACCTTTACTTCAAGACTTACACCTAAGGGTGGTCTACCTATCCAAACTTTGGTTGGAGGAACAACCAATATCAACTACCAGTTAATCCCTCATCTTCACAAAAACCTCTTCAGTATCCACCTGATATGCACCAATAATAAAAAACTCTAGAGGACACATTAAATCAATTCATGTAAATCAAAATGACTTGGAATATTAAAAATACTCAAGACTTAATTGATATAAGTTTTTGGTTGCACCTAGGTAATAAGATTGCTCAATGCATTAGTCAATGTGGTGAAAATGTTGCTTTTCATGAATTATGGCTTGACCATGGTCAATCTATTATTACTTTTTGATTATGAAAATGTTATTGAAACTACTATTCCAAACGAGGCCCAAGAGCCTGAGGAATTTTTAACATCAATAAGTAGTGATGAGATTGATATGTCTAGGTTTGGTGAGGTTAAAAAAATTTAATTTGACTGTTACACTAGAGAAAGATCCAATTTATGTCTAATTTTTTTTTAGATCTGTATGAAGTTGCATATGTGTATCATTTATTTATTTGTTTAGAAGTGTCTTGAGTGAATGAGTGAAAAATAAAATTGGAGGAATTACTGCGACATCACAAGTTTAAGCCACTAAAACATAATGGTGGAACATTCAAACCTGGATTGAAGTTAGATTGATTGTCTTGATATGAGTTATATATTTAGTAGTTATATTTTATTTTTATTTTTTTTCTTATCTTCCGATCTATAGTTTTTCTTTTTGTTAAGTATTTTATTTTTAAGTTTTAGACCATTTGAGGAATAGGTAAAGGAATAGGAATTGATTTTTCTTTTTCATTTGGCATTTCTATTTCCTTTTCAACCAAAGGTTCAAGCTCAATTGGTTCATTAACATAGATTGACTCAACTATAGGCTCTAAGATTTTTGCTTTAATGGTCTTGTTAATCACCTTACCACTTCTCAATGTGGTGATTGATTGTACTTGATTAAGATAAGGTTCGGAAGACATGACATTAGAGTGAAAAATAAAATTGGAGGAATTACTGCGACATCACAAGTTTAAGCCACTAAAACATAATGGTGGAACATTCAAACCTGGATTGAAGTTAGATTGATTGTCTTGATATGAGTTATATATTTAGTAGTTATATTTTATTTTTATTTTTTTTCTTATCTTCCGATCTATAGTTTTTCTTTTTGTTAAGTATTTTATTTTTAAGTTTTAGACCATTTGAGGAATAGGTAAAGGAATAGGAATTGATTTTTCTTTTTCATTTGGCATTTCTATTTCCTTTTCAACCAAAGGTTCAAGCTCAATTGGTTCATTAACATAGATTGACTCAACTATAGGCTCTAAGATTTTTGCTTTAATGGTCTTGTTAATCACCTTACCACTTCTCAATGTGGTGATTGATTGTACTTGATTAAGATAAGGTTCGGAAGACATGACATTAGAGTGAAAAATAAAATTGGAGGAATTACTGCGACATCACAAGTTTAAGCCACTAAAACATAATGGTGGAACATTCAAACCTGGATTGAAGTTAGATTGATTGTCTTGATATGAGTTATATATTTAGTAGTTATATTTTATTTTTATTTTTTTTCTTATCTTCCGATCTATAGTTTTTCTTTTTGTTAAGTATTTTATTTTTAAGTTTTAGACCATTTGAGGAATAGGTAAAGGAATAGGAATTGATTTTTCTTTTTCATTTGGCATTTCTATTTCCTTTTCAACCAAAGGTTCAAGCTCAATTGGTTCATTAACATAGATTGACTCAACTATAGGCTCTAAGATTTTTGCTTTAATGGTCTTGTTAATCACCTTACCACTTCTCAATGTGGTGATTGATTGTACTTGATTAAGATAAGGTTCGGAAGACATGACATTAGAGTGAAAAATAAAATTGGAGGAATTACTGCGACATCACAAGTTTAAGCCACTAAAACATAATGGTGGAACATTCAAACCTGGATTGAAGTTAGATTGATTGTCTTGATATGAGTTATATATTTAGTAGTTATATTTTATTTTTATTTTTTTTCTTATCTTCCGATCTATAGTTTTTCTTTTTGTTAAGTATTTTATTTTTAAGTTTTAGACCATTTGAGGAATAGGTAAAGGAATAGGAATTGATTTTTCTTTTTCATTTGGCATTTCTATTTCCTTTTCAACCAAAGGTTCAAGCTCAATTGGTTCATTAACATAGATTGACTCAACTATAGGCTCTAAGATTTTTGCTTTAATGGTCTTGTTAATCACCTTACCACTTCTCAATGTGGTGATTGATTGTACTTGATTAAGATAAGGTTCGGAAGACATGACATTAGAGTGAAAAATAAAATTGGAGGAATTACTGCGACATCACAAGTTTAAGCCACTAAAACATAATGGTGGAACATTCAAACCTGGATTGAAGTTAGATTGATTGTCTTGATATGAGTTATATATTTAGTAGTTATATTTTATTTTTATTTTTTTTCTTATCTTCCGATCTATAGTTTTTCTTTTTGTTAAGTATTTTATTTTTAAGTTTTAGACCATTTGAGGAATAGGTAAAGGAATAGGAATTGATTTTTCTTTTTCATTTGGCATTTCTATTTCCTTTTCAACCAAAGGTTCAAGCTCAATTGGTTCATTAACATAGATTGACTCAACTATAGGCTCTAAGATTTTTGCTTTAATGGTCTTGTTAATCACCTTACCACTTCTCAATGTGGTGATTGANTATTTATTTTGGTAAGTACAATCAAAGTAGAATTGAATTTCCATAAGTGTATCACAATAGTTTCTCTCACGTGCTCCTATTTCTTTGGACTTCTTGGATCCTAAACTAGGTCGTACTAGATCGGATTGTCAAAGTGGCCTGGGTTGCCCTTTAGTTGACTTAAGCTTTCTTGATTTATAGGGTTTGACCTAATTGACTTTGGGCTCATCATATCCTTATGACCGACGACAAGAAAATGTGTTGTGCTAGAGAATGCAGGACAATAGACATCGGAGCCGAAAGCAATCAGTTGGAAATTAGTCATTCATCGAACAGGAATATCAGTGGATATAGATATTGTTGCAACAAATGAAGTTCGAGTGAGGATTTCCGAGGGTATGTGACCTACCGAACTTATGAACTGGTCTTCTCAGCCAAGAAAAATCCAATAGCTGTAAGGTGCTCCGGTTCACCGTTTCATTTATTGTTCTCCCGGTGCAAATTTCACACACACTTACAAGCACCGGTATTATATCTGTTATATTAATCTACAAAATAAAGGCACAAATACAGGTTCAACATAATCATCAATTTTCTTGCTAGAACTACTAGAGTCAACCCAACATTATTCCTGAAAATTCCAGGGATACTGTATCAAATCCAGTATAAATGTGTGCGAAAGAATTACCAAATGGAAAATGAAAAGCTAAAGCAAGAGAAGATTTAGGCATATATTAAAAGCATCACATCCACATTAAAAAAACCAAAAAGGCATACAATTGGAAGTGGAAGGACATTTGACGGGCATTCCTAGTCGGAAACTACTTGGTGCAAACTGCAAGCATAATCAAACAATCATATGTTCAGACATCAAACATGCATACGTTCAGACATCGAACATCTTTGCGAGTAAGTTGAACTTAACACTCATGACCTTTAAATCACAATCAAAAATACTTTCTAGACCTTAATACAATTTATTCCCCCTCCCCTCTTCTTTTCTTGTTTTTCAATCTTTACTAAAGTCAATGATGGTCCATAAAGGCCGCTATGAAATATCAGGGAATAACAATTTAAAGATAGAAGGAAACATGAAAGAAAGCGACTTCAATCTATGCTAGCATGATATATTTCAAAGGATTGCGTGTTTAGGTTGACCCTTAAACAGGAGGGCCGAAGTATCGATGATCATATTTCTTTGTTATAAATCAGTACATAACTATCGGAATGAATAATCAGTTCTTAAAACTTTTAAATAATGCATCTATAATATAAATGAAAACACCCATATAAGGAAGAGGAAAGAGAAGTCCCAAAAAAACCACAACAGATTTGGTTGGTAAAATGTTGAGAGAATCAAGTATGGGGAATTAGGCTAAGCCTAGTCGGAATAACAATAACCATGGACGAAGTTGGCTAGCCAGCATCATTAATTCGTAGTGGCAACCCCTAAATCTAGAATCTGGGTTATACACGAATTTCCATTATAACAACTAGTTACTTTAGAATGTAACAAATTCATCCACGAAGAGGAATCACCACCCTCCACTGCCCACTGAGTGCAACTGTCCAATGAAGTCTGAACCGCTAAAGCTTACTCCTAAGCTTCCCTTGCCCTTCCCCCGTACAACATAAACCTATAGCCAGCAGCCCAGTTCTTCATACAAAAAATGTCATAGATGAATGCGTAACTGCCTGAATAATATATGAGCAGAACAGCATGAATAATTATTTCAGGATGCAGCTAAAAGTTTGAACAGCTTATACAGCTAAAAGGGAAACAAAAGGCATCAGCGACCAATTTCACAGAAAGAAATATGTTCATTTCAGGAACGTACATCACCGAAATTCATCATGGCAGACCATGCCATAAATTTGGGTTTATCTTACAGGAGTAATGAAAATGCACAAAACATTAGAAACTCCAAACAATATTACACAAATCACCACCACCCATAGACCACTTGGGTGTACTTATCTTTGAGCCACCTGAAACTCTTCCTGAAAGACCCTTTGACCTTGCCTTCAACAGAGTAGACCTTATAGCTAGCAACCCTCTTCTTCCTCTGAAGCTCTGGATCATTGAAAACCCAAGATTTTGAAGAAGACCCAGTTGTGCTCTTGCCTTTTTTGAGCTTCAAGTCCTTGACACCTCCCATCTGGGTGGGTGGTGGTGGTGGTGCCGCTGGTGCATAGGAAGAAGCATAGGAAACACTGTAAGACCTGAAATCATGAGTAGGTCTGGGTCCGTAGTAGCTCTCCATCTGCATCCTACCATCGGCGTATGACTTTGATCTGTAATCTCCCATGGACTGTCTGCGGAGAGATGGAATGGAAGGCAGGAATTTGGGTCTTGTTGAGCTTGACAGGTAAAAGAGAGAAGAAAATGTAGAGAGTGGGGGGCCAAACTTGAAAAAAGAAATTAAAGATGTTTTTTTGTTTTGATCTTGAAATAGATTTGATTCCAGATGCCGTATTTAATGGGCAATTGTATTGTCTTAGAGGCCATGTTTAGACTTGTAAATTGGATTTGGAGTCGTGTTACGACTTACGAACTTTTGGTGTGAAATTATTTGGGGCAAAATTATTGACCCCTGACATTTATAAAAATCATATGTTGACCATATGATATTCAAAAATTGACACAAAAATCATTTGCTCGCCAAATGATGGCACCAGTAAAATTCAATTTTAAAAAGGCTAATATTATGCCTTATTTGTCATTCAAATAAAATCAAATCCGTTCACCGAAACAATTCCAAACAAAATTTGAATGGCAAATTATAATTTAAACTTCCTAACATTTATAAAATCACATGGTGAACATATGATGTTCAAAAATGATACAAAAATCTTCACTTGTCAAATGATGAAACCAATAAAATTCAAATTTAAAAAAGCCAATTTTATGTCTTATTTCTCATTCAAATCAAATCAAATCAAATCATATCCCTTCACCAAAACTATTCCTAACCAATTTTAAAGGACAAATTACACTTTGATCACTTGAATTATAGACGCGTGTTCACTTTCCCCCTATTAAAGTTTTTGCATTGCCCCTTAACTATTCGATTAGTCCACATTACTCCAAGTGCAAATGGTCGATATCTTTTGTATGAAAATTGTGAACATTTAGGGGCAAAATAAAAAAAATACGTAGCTTTTGAGGGCAAACTGAAATTATTTTCAATTAAATATATAATAGACAATAATAATTTGAGTGATGTGAAACTAATAACATAATTGATGGTGTAATGTAAAAATAAAGATATTTGATGGGATAACATGGTTGATTTAAAATAATCCTATTACTTGCAGGTAATTTTGTTTATTTAAAATAATAGGGGGTAAGACAAGTGAAACAAACACTAGAGGAAGAGTCACACTAGAAAAAGGGGATATTTGATAAAAATTGAATAACCAAGATTAAAAGAGGAAGATTTAAAGATAATGTAGCAATTTAATGCTTGTGGAGTTCAACTTAGTAAGCAACTCAGTTAGAGTTAAATTAGGAAAATATTTTAGAAGATAAGTTTTTGACATATTTTCAGTAGTTTGACCATAACTTTTTACTCTGATGTCCGACTAAGTTAATTTTTTTGACATAGGAAATAAAACTTTAAGTATTACAAAAGTATATTTCATTAAAATTTCGTGAATTGATCTCTAACTATGCAAAATTTAAGCTCGAAGTTTGTACAGAGATAATTGTAATTGCATAAACATTTATTTGATGAACATGAATAGATCTAGATTCCAAAACTAAAAAGTTATTTTTCCAATCAATAAATTCCTTCTAAAATTTTCTATTTTATTCTAAATACTAATTATGTACTTTTAAATTTCTTCAATCCTTGTAGTTCGACTTTGGACTTATTGGAAAATTATTACTTCTTGACCACTTACACTTGGGTGTACCTATTTGGGATCGAGCAAGTTTTTGACTATGTTGTCGGGGATCACAAGTCAAGTGTAGAAGCAAAAAAAGGAGGAATCCTTCTTCACCCATGAGCTACTTGGTGAAATTCTTCTCTAGGTAAATTTGTTCATTTTGTTTTTGTACATATTATTTGTTTCTTTTAGTTTATTGTATATATATATTTTTCTTATGCTTTTAGATTACTCTAATGAGATGTTTAGTGTTTCCCCCTATTGAGGAGGAATGTGGGATTTGTGTTGGGTTTGGGCATCCCACTAAAGAGTGTCTTACCATTTCGATGTTTCAAGAGGTTTGGCTGGATCAGTCCAATGAAATATCATCTTTTCAACAATCTTATTCCAACCTTTACTTCAAGACTTACACCTAAGGGTGGTCTACCTATCCAAACTTTGGTTGGAGGAACAACCAATATCAACTACCAGTTAATCCCTCATCTTCACAAAAACCTCTTCAGTATCCACCTGATATGCACCAATAATAAAAAACTCTAGAGGACACATTAAATCAATTCATGTAAATCAAAATGACTTGGAATATTAAAAATACTCAAGACTTAATTGATATAAGTTTTTGGTTGCACCTAGGTAATAAGATTGCTCAATGCATTAGTCAATGTGGTGAAAATGTTGCTTTTCATGAATTATGGCTTGACCATGGTCAATCTATTATTACTTTTTGATTATGAAAATGTTATTGAAACTACTATTCCAAACGAGGCCCAAGAGCCTGAGGAATTTTTAACATCAATAAGTAGTGATGAGATTGATATGTCTAGGTTTGGTGAGGTTAAAAAAATTTAATTTGACTGTTACACTAGAGAAAGATCCAATTTATGTCTAATTTTTTTTTAGATCTGTATGAAGTTGCATATGTGTATCATTTATTTATTTGTTTAGAAGTGTCTTGAGTGAATGAGTGAAAAATAAAATTGGAGGAATTACTGCGACATCACAAGTTTAAGCCACTAAAACATAATGGTGGAACATTCAAACCTGGATTGAAGTTAGATTGATTGTCTTGATATGAGTTATATATTTAGTAGTTATATTTTATTTTTATTTTTTTTCTTATCTTCCGATCTATAGTTTTTCTTTTTGTTAAGTATTTTATTTTTAAGTTTTAGACCATTTGAGGAATAGGTAAAGGAATAGGAATTGATTTTTCTTTTTCATTTGGCATTTCTATTTCCTTTTCAACCAAAGGTTCAAGCTCAATTGGTTCATTAACATAGATTGACTCAACTATAGGCTCTAAGATTTTTGCTTTAATGGTCTTGTTAATCACCTTACCACTTCTCAATGTGGTGATTGATTGTACTTGATTAAGATAAGGTTCGGAAGACATGACATTAGCCTGGTTTTGACCCTATGGAGGTTTAGGTTGAGATGAGAATTTTCCCTTCTCTGTTGTGGTTAAGTACTGGATCAATTTGGCTAGATGGCTCTTGACATCCTCAATATTTTGTGAAGTCTGAGCATTGAAATCATTGAATGTCTGGGTAGACTAAGTATTAAAACTCATTTGATTTTGAATGAACTGGTGTATGGTGTCCTCTAAACTCCTCTTATGTGGGGGTTGATAAGGCTGATATGACTCCTGAGTCTAGGGTTGTGGTAAAGGTGGACCCGGTGGCTGACACTAGCTGTGTATTCTTCTAACTGAAATTCAGGTGATTCTGCCACCATGGTTATAGGTTTCAGAAGGTATTTGAATAAGGCTTGTTAAGTTTTGAAATGACATTGATTTGTTCCATCAAGATCTCTTTGAATGCTGGAATGGTGGGACATTCCTCCGTGGGATGCCTTGACAATGCACATAATCCACACAACTGATCAATGGGAGACACAATGTAAACTTTTTTTGACTTTTTTCATCTCTAGAGCATCCAGCTTTTGAGAAAAAGTAGTCATTCTGGCCCTTAGGTCATCAACCTCTTTTAATATGCATTTTCCTCCTTAGGACGAAGATGGCTTGGTTTCGACAATAGTTAGCGAGGCCGAGTCCCACATTTGGGAACTCTAAAAAATGGTATCAAAAAATTCAAATGTCTCATTGGGACTCTTACCCACGAATTCTCCATTGGCCATCATTTCAACAAACTGACACATCGCGAATGGAAGGGCATCATAGAAGAAATCAACTAGAGTCCAAATCTCAAATGCATGATGTTGGTAAGGTTGGAGAAGATCCTTAAATCTCTCCCAACATTGATAAAAAGTTTCTCCTTCTTTTACAAAACAATTCATAATTTGATGCCTCAATGCGTTAGTGCGATGTACAAGAAATTTTTTTTTGAAAAATTCAGTTTGCACAACTTGCCAACTTGGTACAGATTGAGCTTTTAAAAAATTTAGCCATTGTTTAACTTTATCATTCAAAAAGCAAGGAAAAAGTTTCAACCGGGCTATTTGAAAATTATCTTACAATGCACCACATACTTACTCGAATTCTTTTGTAAACAAATAAGGGTTTTCAAACTTAAGACTATGAAACTATAGTAAAAGTTTTATTGTCACTACTTTAATGTTAAAATTTAGAGCATTTCTAGGAGAAAACCAAACATAAAGGGAAACTAGTGTGTGTGGAATGCAAGTATTCTCTTAGGGGTTTAACATTTTGAATTACTTCTTGTTCCCTTTGATTATTATTAGCGATGCTTAACTCAAAAGTGTCCAAAGATGCTTGTGACGATGAAGATGACGAAGATGAAGGACTGGACTGACTTCTAGACCCTACTAATGACTTAACAAACATAAACAATTAAAATAAAACACACAGTGTATACACATATAATACAAACTAGACAATTTCTCTATTTGTTTTGAAATCACTGTAACTCTCGGGCAACGGTGACAAAAATCTTGATCTAACCTGAATTAAATCATACACCCAAATATAAGTTGTCAAATTATAATATTTCTCGGTTTAAGTGCGAGGTTGAACCCCGAAGGGGCTAACTTTTGGTACTCAAAACTAGAAAACAGTAAAATTGTCAGGTGTGCAGTGTGCAACGGAATACCTTGTGGTGTGAGCTTAGAGTTATCAAATAAACACTTAACTAAAAATTTGGATAACAATGATAAAAAAAAAGTCCTCTTTAGTTTTGGGATCCAACATGCTTTATACTATTTATTTATGAAAATGCCACCTTAAAGCAATTAACTTCCATTTTACTGAAAAGTTAACTGGTAGGTTTGATATATTACTGAACCATATCACAACAACTAGTTTGGTTAGCCAAAAAGGTCTATGCACTATGCAACAATCAAATAACTCTAGTAAATTTGAAGTTAAACAATTCAAAAGGTTTACTCTAATTATTTGATCGGCATGTTGATGATTCAATGATGACGGAGTTTTGGTTTATGCATTGAATCAAAAGCATTGGCTATGACAATATTTCACCAGTTTATAACTAATCTCTTGACTGTTACATAAAGCCCAACTACGTACATCACCGTATCATGCATGAAGTAAGTAATTATTATAGATAGAATGGTATATAGTATTAGACTTTGCTCGGTGTTCATAACCATGAGCATATATTATAATAGTAACCATCCAGCAATTAAGGGAGGTATAAACATTAACGCATAAATAA